TTGGTAGCCCGACTGGAAAACACAATAGCCCCGGGACGTCGGTCTAGCGATTTAATTTAGCGAGTGTAATTTATTCATGTGATGGCAAAGCTGAATTATTTTTTCAGTATTTTTGATTATGAAGTTCAAAACACAGCATTTTATTTATTTTTATTTAAGGGCTTATTTTTCTAAGATTATTGCATTGTGTTGTTCACCCTGTGTGTGACAAACTGGAGAAAATGGTTAACTTGACAATCAGAAAAGTATGTGGCTCTCTGTCACATATAAAGAGTATGTACACTTAGATTGATGTTAAATGAATTATTTATAGCCAAGTGTCTCTGGAGGAACATGTCTTTAGTGACTAAAACAGGATAAAACCGTGGTACTGCCTGGCTTTGTTGGTACCAGCTCAGGCGGTGACGGCAACCTTTGTTGAGTTGTCTCAGCTTTGAAATGCAAAACCAAACCTCTTGACAGAGTACACGTGTCAAAATAACATCTGTATTCAATAGCAGAACGTAACGTTTCAAACGACACTGGTATTTTTCTGATCATACTATCAGTGCCACCTATTATTACATTTACTGAGAACATCACTTTTGAGCGCCTAATGATAATGCTAATTGTTTAAAGCAGCGTGCTCATACACTGTGTTTTGTTTTGTAAGGTTTCACAAAAGGGGATATCGTGCATACACTGCCTGAAGGCATTTATTGAATTAATTTTCAACAGAAGCATTTCTGCTACAGTTCGTTGTGGATCTTCATTTACAGTGGAGGGAATTAGTTAATGGCCTCTAAAGGACTTTATTCTACCGTCACGGCAGTCAAGTCAAACATATTTTGCCGGCCATCATCGAGGCAAAAGTGCAGGATGCTCTCCAGAGATTTGAGACATTATACTGAACTGACCTTTAACTTAACTGACCTTTATGTTGCAGGACAGTTTTTGTAATATGAGCCATGGTTTTGTGAGGAAAGGCTTGTAAAGGTATTGGAGAGATTCATGGTTCTGTACTCAAAATAGTATGTGTGAATCCTCAGGGTGCCTGTGCCAAAAACAACAGCTCAACAATCTTGATTCCTCTAAGATCCCTGCAACAAACTGGTTTTCACTTCATGTAAATATACATATTAATGTCTTCTTCAAGGTTGTTTTTAATAAACAGGAAGAAAAGGGCTGTCTACACTACTGTTAAAAGATTTTGGCTCATTTTTTTTTCCAGAAATCATTCTAATATTCTTCTTAATATTCTTCTTCTTATTATCACTGTTGAAAACAGTTGTGCTGCTTAATATTTTTTGTGGAAACCATGGTGCATTTTTATAGGAATCTCTGATGAATATAAAGTTCAAAGCATTTATTTAAAAACAGAATATTTTGTGACATTAGAAATGTGTTTACAGTTACCTTTGATCAATTTACTTACTGAATGAAAGTATTAATTTCATAAAATAAATAAATGGTGACCCCAAACTGAATAATTTATAATTTATTCCAATATTTTAATTATTCCAATAATTGATTATGTCCTCAACATTGTTCTAACACCCCAAAAAAACATTTGATTGTTTATTTGCAAACACATATTCTCTGTGAGTGTTGTAGTAAATGTTTAACACTCCTTTTGAAAAGTAGGCCATAATTTGCTCTCCTGAAGGGAGGATGTCGACACCCTATACTGCTATTCCCGGTAGGGTAACTAAATAAGGTATTTGTAACATCTTTAGTTTTGCTGAGTTGTAGACTTTTTGAGATATGCAAGGCCCTCATAAAGGCCTGAATTGTGGCTTACTCTGCAGTCTATTTAAATTGTGTTCAAACTGCAAAGGCAATCAATAAATCAACCTTGTGAAATGTGTCTAGTTTGCAATTTTTCAGCCCCAAATAGAAATAGTACCCAAGAATTATTTCATAGATTTTTTCTGTAATATTTATTTGAAGTTTTCCAAACTAAGTCCAAATCAAATCAAGCACAAACCAACACAGAAACATATGTATCTTTTGTATCTTATATGTATCTCATATGTATCTTTTATGAAGAGAGGTAACTGATTGAGAATTATCTATGATTTAATAGAAAATGTGCTTAATCATACCTAGTGTGTTTGCTGTGCACTGAGTTATTAATGTTACATTTATTGAATGTTACGTTTATGCTCTGTGGAAAAGACCATTGATTTCTTAATTATGGCAGTCTATATTCATGATAAAGAGTATCATGTGTCATTATCGACAAGGGTCATTTACAATTGAAACACATACATATATATATATATATATATTTTTTTTTTTAAATGAGATATTAACAACTTATTTTTTATAGTTCCTCCAAAGATCATGAACCTGTCAAAGGACCTTGTGGTGAATGAAGGCTCCAACGTGACTTTAATGTGCCTGGCTAATGGAAAACCAGAACCTGCCATCGGCTGGAGGATGTTATCACCTTCAGGTAAGATGCATATCATGCTTTTATGTGCAGAAAATATTTAACATAATCAGTGAAAAGTAAGCAAATATTTAGTCAATAGCTTTTGCCTTCAAAATGAAACCGCAATCCTCAATATCGGTCCAGTACTGCTGATGTACTTTTCCCAGTACAAAGAACGGTGCACTTTTTTCCTTGATGATTTAGCAAAATACTGCATCCCACTGACATATTAAGCACAGGTAAGATAATATATCAGGCGTCTTTTTCACTGAGAGCTCTGTGTGTGTGTGTGGATGTGTGTGTTTTTTTTATATGCACCATACAAGCTGAGTGGTCCGTTTTGCTTATCTTCAGGCCACATGAACAAATCAGCTCAATTTGGGCCGATCTGCAGCTCTGTTCTGCCGTGCACCATTTCACTTAATCAGGGAAAATACTGCATTTTAATGTGCTATGATTCATGGGGTGCAATTGGACTGCTGTACCTGCTCATGCTCCCTGCACAACCCTCCCCATTTTCTTCCTTTGTGTTGTTACAAGGATCAGGTAATTGAAATGTTAATGTGACATAGACGTGACTGCTCTGTTTGTTTGTTTTCAAGTGAAAGAGTTTGAGATGGGATTCCATTATGATACAGTACAGTTGTCTGCTAAGAACATCAAATGCTTTTAGGAATAAAAGATCAACTGTTAGAGCAGATTCAGTCAAGTCAGAGTCTTCTTGGACCACAGGATCAACTTGTTTTTTCCCACATCATTTGTCAGGTGGACACTGTTAATATACTTCCATTGTCAACAGATTTCAATCTTAAAAGGATAGTTCAGTTTAAAAGGTAAAGAAATAAATGTAAAGAAGTTATTTTGAGAAATTTCTCAGTTTTTTTTTTTTTGGTTCATACATTGAATGGCCAAACCCTATTGAGCCATTCTTCAGAATATTGTCTTTTGTGCTCCATGGAAGAAAGTAAGCCTTGTGGGTTTAGAACTAGTCGATGGAAGTTTTTTGCAGTTTTACTTCCTTAAGGCCCAGATATACTCACTGAGGAGATCTTCGCTTAGGAGTAAAAATAAGTTGTTTAAAAAAGAAGTTTAATATACACAAGCAGTGGAATACTGTTAGTGAACATCCCAATGAAAATGAACATACAACAAAAATGAGAGCGGTGAGAAAACAAGATTTAAGAAACATCTGATCGTAACGATAAAATCCAGAAATTTCGCTTTGGTAAGCTATTTCAAACTCCAGAAAAAAACTCGAAATGAGCTTTGATTTGGCCTGATTTTGTTTGAAATTAAATCACACTAGTTCATTCTTTGATTTAATTTAAAGAATATCGGGGCCTTTGATAGGAAATATATATACGTATATATAAAAACATTTAACAAGGAAAAAATGATCTGGACTTGATTTTATTCATAATGATTTGATTGGAACTTGAAAAATGAACATACAAATGAACATGGGCTCATTTTGATTTTAAAACTAAACAAAAAAGCAGACTTGGCTCAAATTAGTCTCTGAGATGGTGGGGTGTGTTGGCGTTAGTAACATTACACCACTCATAAACACCATGGTTTTGTGCTGTTTGATCAGTTTAACACTTCATTGGCTCTCAGATCTGATTTAGTTTTGTAAAAGCATTGCCAAAGAGCTGGCAACCAGGAATCTTGATGGGGCTGGAATCAGTCGGAAGCTATCCAAACGACGTGTGAAACATAATTAAGACACAGACCCCCTTGCGATAAGATCTTAATATCTCGATAGCACCAGGATTTTTAGTCTTGTAGATATTTGTCTCTTTTAAAAATTTGTATTGTACTGTTGATGTCAAACACACCTGCTCCCTTGAGCATTCACCGTACTACAGTCATTTAGATTTACCGCAGCGTTTCCACATTGTTTCAATAAAGAGCTGAAATAAGTCTGCCAGTCACCCTTAGTTCTGTAAGTACACATCTCCGACCTTTAAATGGCACACGTGGCTCTTTCTCTGGACTCTCTATATAAACCGAGAGATTTCACGATGTTGCACCCTATCTCCAGTCTCACATCACTCGCTTGTAAGTTTTCTCTAGATTACGATCATACAGAGTCCTTACTTTATCTAGATCCTAATCTAAAGAGGGCAGCTAGGCCTGCTATCATCCATTCTTATTAAGGAAACATGCAACAGCAATGTTATTTGTTAGAGTTTACCTTCATGTGTAGAACGCTGTAGTGAACACTAACAGCAACATATCGTGATTTTGTCATAGAGAGAAGGTTGATGGATCATTTAATGTAGTTTAGATGGAATATGTGGCAAAATGCATTTACATAAAAAGCGGTGAAATGTGATTTTAAGGCCATTTATGATGCGAAATTGCCGTAACTTTGCAGAAAATGTCAAATGAGAGTGTTGCACTTTGATGCATTTACAGATTAGCCAAAATATGTAGTAAATGAACTCATTGGGGTCAGCGGATGTGTAGAACTTTGTTATTGACAGACATTCCAATTCTGTGGAAATGTGCAGTTCTGCAGGCACAAATTCTGAGATTCTGTGTGGCTCTGGCTATTAGCAATCTGAATTATTGATCAAGCCCAAAGTCTACAACAACTAAAAACTGAAACTTAGTACAGGACCCGTTGTCCTGAATATTATAGTGAGCTCTTTTGTTTTGCTAGAACAGTATGTGCTTTTCCCAGAAACCTTTGCATAACCTTACACTTCAGAACATCAGTTATTTATGTTGTGTTTCTAGAAATCCAGATTTGCAAACTGTAAATATACTTTTCCAATGATGCAGTAATACTTTTCTTTAGTGTTTTTGTCTTGTTTTTCCAGTAAAATATTTAAACATCCATAACATAAGAGAAATTTACTTGAGAGGCAAAATTGCACAATATATTAAAATTTGAATTAAGTTTTATTTTCTTACCATATACTTTTTCCTGTTACATACATTTACATACATTTTACATACATTTAATTATAGTGATGTTCATGCTTAAAAAATGCCAATGATGTATGAACAATAAACTTAATTTAAGATGTATTCTCTGATCTTACACTATTTTGTTTCTCGAGTAAATTGATCTTACTTTAAAGATAATTGCAATTTACTGAAAAAAAAAACTGGAAAAAAAAAACAATAATACTGATTAAGAAAATATCTTATTTGCATTGTACCAGTGGCCTTTCTCAAACTGCTTCACACCCTTCAGTATATGTGGAGGATATGGATAACAGCCAATGTTCTGCCATCTAGTGTTGCTTTCGTCAACGAAAATTATGACTAAATATCGTCGTCAACGAACCTTTATCACGTGACGAAAACGAAGTTATGCTCATGTGTCCTCTGATAATAATAGCTTTCTAGGATTGAACATTATTTGGATAATTGTTAAAAAATTTTTTTAAAAACTCTTAATTAATAGCCCTACTGTGTGTTAGACCTACCTGAAAAACTAAAAAGCAATTTATTTCATTTGTTTGACTAAAACTTGACTAGACTAAAAAGAGTATGAACGTGACTAAAACTAATAAAAACTAAAATGACAGCTTCACACAAAGACTAGACTAAAACTAAAATTAAAACAGGCCGCCAAAAGCAACACTACTGCCATCCACACACAAAGAAACAGTTCATGCATGCTTAAAATAAACTATAAAGATGAGATATTAATGTTATTATCCCCTGAGGCTGTTTAATAGACATATTACACACATGAATGAATCATTTGCAGGCTCTGCATGGTCTTTCTTTCATGTGATCAGAGAAAAACCCTTTGGTGGGAAGGCTTGTTTACTTATTTTTTCAATCCTCAAAAAGGGATATTCACCCATTCCCATATTTCTCTCTCTTTGTAAAATCCAGTGGGCTAAAGATCAGAGCAAACGGCATGTGAGTTGCATTGTGGGTATGGCAAGAGTAAAGGTGTTGTTATTGTGTTAATGTGTTGTTTTGGGTGAGGAATAGGGTCAATAATGTTGCTAATTTATCATTGCTGCTGTTTAATCGACTTGAATAAACATTGTTTTTAATGAGCGTCTGTGTCCCAGGAGCGAACACTCCTATTAGATCAGTGTTGAATTAGGGTTTTGGCTCAGTGAAGAGCACATTGTGTGGAGCACATTCCTTGAGGTTTTTATTGAGCTGTGATTGCATTAATCCTGTTTATAACCATCTATGTAATGAGGCTGCTGTGTGTTTGGGTTTGGCAGCTCATTTCAGGAACCAAATGATCCTCTTAGCGCTAGCACTAACTGCTAATACAGTTCTACTCTGCCGAGCTCGCTCACTATTTTTCTCACTATTTCTCTCTCCCTCCCCTCCTCGGTTCTGTGCTGACTAGTTATTTTTGAGAGGAGTTTTTTTTTTTTTTTTTTGGGATGACAGAAACACAGAGTGAAATGAATGCATTTGGAGTAGGGTTATAGATTGATATTACTCTGGTCGGGTCTGGTTATGGTGTTTCTCTCTCCTGAGCAATGGAACTGCAGACTACCCCATGGTAATGTACTCTGGTGTGTGTTTATCTTTTCATTCGTATTCAAGCTTGTATTGTCTGTCACTCAAATCAAATACAGCCCGCTGTTCCAGCTAGTCTCCATTCAAGAGCCGAATTTTCCAAAACACCCAATTTTGCACATGCATTTAAGCCGGAGAGAATAACAACAACCTAATTAAGATATTTCAGCACATTTAGAAGGTGATTAAACTGGATTGTGGGCGTTTTTTGCACTGATATACTACATACAAATGTAGCGCAAACACATTTGCACTCGCTCACACAAACAAAAGCATATTTCAGCATTAGTTACAGATGTGGCTTTCATTTCACATTTTTAAGTCAAACAAAGACTCAAGGACTGAAGGTATTTGATGGCTGGAATCAAAGCAAGCCCGTCAAACTGCATTATCTTTGCTGACAAGAATCTCAGCTGAATAAAGCCAATAAATATCTGCAGGGCATATGTGTGACTCACACTATCTGTGTTTGTTTTCCTCGACTAGATAATGCATTAAAGGTTTTGCACAGTCAAGTCTGTATTTTTATGTCAGTTGATAGACCTTTTGTTTTCTAAATTAATAAACAGGCAATTCTTCTTCAACTGACAATGCAGTACTTACCGATTTGGATATAAATCTCATCATAGCCGTGACTAATCAAACAATCCATTGTATCATGTACCAAAAATGGGTAATGGGATATCTTCTGACCTCTGCTGTAAGCAGATCTGGTGTTTGGTTCACATTCAGAACAGAAGCGGAGGAAATCAGGTGGTGCGATAATGGCGTTCCTGCCCCGCTGCTCTGGAGGGATCAGACAGAGAACCTGTCGCTCGTAAGATGACATATTCAGCTGTGCCTGGATTGATTCAGCACCTTGCCCAACTCTGCTTTCCTTCTCTGGGGTTTTGTGTGTGTATGTGTGTACAACAGCTCTGCAGTATTAGTTCCTTGCTCTCTGCTTTACTGCAGTACTTTACACTCATACTGGGCTGAGCTACTTTAGCTAGAGGTCTAGGACAGTCCATTCTAGAAAATGAATTTAAAACATTGTTTCTTAGATTAGTTTCAGATTAGTTTTGTCTGCCAACTTACGTAGTCATACTTTTGAATATCATTACAAAATCTGGTCCAGTTTGCATCTTATTCTCGCCAAAACAACACCTTATTAGACAGGAAGAGCCTGTCTGAGTGACATGAAACATAACCAATCACATTTTTTCCCCTGTACATTTTACTTTTTCTGTACATCTATACATTGAAAGTAGAGTCCAGTGCCATTTTGGACCCCACTGACTTTCATTGTATGGATTTTTGGGTGAACTATACCTTTAAGTACAGATTGTTTAATAACTTAAAATCTAATTCTAGGCCTGTCTGTGGATATCTGCTTTAAATGCTACTAAGGGCCTCCCTCGGCCAAAACTAACTAAATATTTAGGATAAGATAAGATGGCACTAACATAAAACTAATCACAAAGTGATTAGTTCTATACAAAAGTGTCCATTGTATCAATTTGGATTGCAGCCGGATTGCAAATTGAGATTTAGAGAATCTGTTGTCATTTTTGTGTGCAATATTCATCACCATCTGAGGATGTGACTGTGGAGGGCAGCCTCTTTCATTTCTGTGGGTTTGGTTTCTCCGTTAATAGAGCTGTTTGGCACTTGTTCTATTTTTTATGACACCCAGTACGATAGTTGTACCATTTCAGCTCAAGAGGCATTTGATTTTAACTTATGATAATATCACAAATCAAACCCTGGCGTACTATTGACTGACACTTATAATGCCAATGGGGGGCCATGAATATACAAAAGCGTTTACGTTATATAAGCAATGCATAATGAATGTGCTTCAGTAGTGTATTGACGAAGAAAAAAGCCTGAGATGTCAATCTCCAAGTGCTTCGCACTGATACAATCCTCCAAGGCAGCCGTGAAACCCAGAGCCCCGATGGAAATAAATGGTCCCATTTTGTCAATCTTCCCTTTGATAGAAAACAGTCCACAATGCACCTGATGCCAAAGCACCACGTTTCCTTTCTGCTGGACCAGGTATCAAATGCCAGTGGTTTGCTTTTCATAAAACTTACCCAGTCCTTTACAACATCAACGACATGCACTTTCAGTGGGAAACATCAAAATGAGCATCTTGAATGAAGAAGAAACTCTCCTTCTGTGACTCACTTTGCAAAGATGTTCTAGTGCCATTCAAAGGTTTGGATTTAATTGGCTCGTTTTGAAGGGGTAGTTGATTGTTTGAATTTAAAACGGAATCTTTTGAAACAATGCAACAATAAAATTATACAAGAGCCTTTTTGAGTAAACTTCAAGCTGCTTTTCAGTGCAGCGAGGTGTATATGGTGTTGAACGGTAATGAGCTTCTTTCTCCAGAGCTCTCTGTTGACACTCCTCATCAGGTTAAAGGAAGTGCCTCTTTCTTTCTCGTTAACAGCCTCTCCCAGGTGTAAGACATTGTCTTTCAGAGAATCCTTAAGTGAATGCAGTGTGTTATTTTGCTGTCAGAAACTACATTGGGGATGATATTTAGTTAAGTCAACCGCGTATTACCGTTTGACGTTGAGAACTGCATCACAAAGAACCCTTTCCACCAACATTTTTTTCCCCAGTCTGGATTTCATGAACATGAAAAGGGACCATATTTTTTAGCAGTTTGACTCCAGTGTGTATGCGAACACTTCAAAGCAGCTGCGCAGAGACTGAGACTGAATTTCATATCTCTAGTGTCGCCTTCTCCCACAATAGGACACAAATGACTATAAATACATTTTTCAAGTGAGTGACAGTGACGTGACATGTGGCCAAGTATGGTTACCCATACTAGGAATTAGTGCGCTGCGTTTAACCCAGCCTAAGTGCACACACACAGCAGTGAACACACACACACCGTGAACACACACCCGGAGCAGTGAAACCCAGTGCTTCAGTAGTGTATTGACGAAGAAAAAAGCCTGAGATGAAAAAAGCCAGATATCAGACCATCAGTATTTCAGGGAAGATGAAGTTTGAATATTTGCAAAGAAGGGCAACAACATGCTCTACAGTGTGGCTTATTGTACCCAAGCAAAGTACGTATGTGACGATACTGGAAAATCAGACACATTTCAGCTCTTCAGTGATAATGGGACACATGCATCATGATGTGATTTACCCAAGTAACACTTTGTTGTTCCAGGATCAAGACTCCTACCAACCAATCAACTCATTTGTTTTTGTTGTAGTTGTCTTTTAAGGAATCATAGACAACCCTTTTCTCTTTTGAGAGCTTTAATACAGATTATGACATAGACATATTGTAATGTTTCTTGTTCAGATGACAGCCTAAGCTCAGACAGCGAGGTTCTGGAGATTCCCTTCATCAGCAGATATAGAGCAGGAGTGTACGAATGCACCGCAGCCAACGAAATTGCAGTGGACACACAGACTGTTGAGCTCACAGTCAACTGTAAGTCTCTTGTGAATTTAAATCAACATGTGCTACACATATATATGCAACATACAGTTGGGACAAAAGACTATTAAATATTTATTTATTTATTTATAAACAAATATTTGGATTAAACATACAGATGATTATTTAAAAATGAATAAATAAAAAATATAATTTAATTTTTAATTAAATGTTTTGAAATGCAAAATAAAACCATCATCACTAAATATCAATACTTATGAACACCACTTTATGTGTAAATCGTTCGTTTGTTTAAACCTATAAACTCTTAGGATTTTATTTAAATAAATATAAAATTATAATATAATTTGTAATGAAATGTCTCAAAATGCAAAATAAAAGCATTGCTAGTAGGGCTGGGCGATATGACAATATTATCGTATATCGACGATGTCTCGTAAGTATCGCGATGTCGATGTCAACAGTCAGGTAACAGACGATTATCGACATTATCGGGAAAAAATGACAAATGATAAACCTAGTAAGTTGCAAAAAATATTTTACATAGCCCCATAGTCACCATACAGGTTTTTTGGCATGCAAGAATGAAATAAAAGCTGTAATCATATCAGATGCGTACGGTCAAGAATCAAATTACTTGTTATAAAATTACATTTCGATTCTGCGTCTCGATTTCTGTATGCGCATTTATTGTGATTTCAAAAGATTCAACTGCAAGAAGACGAAATAGATCTCACTTCTGCCCTCGCGCGCTGTGCACTCACACACAAAGCCACGCACAAAAGCCGCCTCTTATATATGCGAACACTGGACTGAGCTCTCTTTCACTTACACATTCGAATGGACAAATACACCCAGAATTATATCAAAATATCCCATAAATACAATCGGTTATGTCTTAAGTGAACGTAAAGAGTTGAGAAAGAAAACAAGGGTGTATTGGATCCGTGCATTGACAGCAGCCGCTGCCGCCAGTCATTATAATGTTAATCAAAGAACAAAAGAAAAGAAAATCCCTCACTGATCTTGACTGAATCACTTTTGTAACCTCTTGTAACCCGTTTATATTTTATTTGCCTGTTGTTCGGCGCTGACTACTGTAATGGCAACGTGCATCTGTGTTTACGCGATTATTTTGGAGATGTGTTCCAATATAATTGATCCTTATTTAGGGTATAGGCCTATTCTATTTTGAGCTGCAGTTGAATAAAAGTTAAACAGAAAAAAGACAAAAAGTAGCACTGCATGTGCTTCTGAATATTTATTTAAACAGACTGTATAATGATGAAAAACCACAAACATGACAGGTAGAATTAAAATACGCAAATTCCTTCAGCGCACATTTCAGTGCAATATTTTTACAGATTTTGTAAACCGCGTATACAATATAATTACGTTTAATTAAGCTGAGATATAGCACTATAAATTCTTAATTCATCATTTCAGTGAATTTCAAACGGATGAAGACATTAGTAGGCTTTTCAGCTCGCCCCTCAACATGTATGCGTTCGGAGTTTCGGCAGCCCAACACTGAATATTATATTGTGGTCGTTGTATTTTGATTAATAAAATAAAAATTATAAAAATGACAATATAAAAATGAAATTTAAATTACCCTGCCTCTAATTAAATAAAGCAATTATTTTTATTTCGTTAAAAACGGACCGAAAGAGACCTCCGAACTAGTAGGCTACCAGAAAGGAAAAAAAAAAAACTTAACGTTTTTGCTCAGAATTCATTTTTAATCCCTGCATGATTT